TTTTGATCTCATGGCCTAACTAAAGTGAATTCGAAATGGGTATTTAGTGCGATTGAAAGGGGTAGTAATAAGTGTTTCTTTAAGGTTGTGCGAGAAGAAGTAAAGATGTTTTATTAGTTATTATTTTACCTGGTACCTTGCTGTGAACTATAAGTATGATTTAAAGATCCTGAAACAGGCGCACATATGCTTGCTTTTATTTAGCAGAGGAAATGAAAAATTTATCGGACACGTAATCAAGATTCTGAAGAAGATTAGGTAAGTTAGTATTTTTAATATTTGAGATATTATTTTTATGCATTCTTCTAAATGTAAGGAGTAAATAAATAATATGGTATTATTGGAAAATTGTTATTAGCAATGTTTTTAATATTTTAAGTAGTGTTTTTGAATTTAATTATATTTTAATTAAATGATAGTTATTTTGTGAATTATATGTTTGTAGGAATTTGGTATACATTAAAGTGGAAGTAAATGTGGATGGAAATAATTTAAATATTTGACACTAAGTATTTGTAACCATTTGTAATGTTTGCAGTATGAATTAGTTGGTGACATTTATAATATAATAGATAATTGAGAGGTAAAAGTTTTTGGATATTTTATATGTGGAAATGTTCACATTTGGAAAGGGTATATACTTTTTCGCGATCAGGTAATTTCATATATGTTCTTTTTACCGGGTTTAAAGATTTAGAAAATTGTCATGCATTTTCGTGAAATTTTTCTAATTTATGAGAAAAAAGCGGTGTACATGGATATAGTGAAGAGTGTGCACAATGCCATTTTGTGCAATTCTGGGATGTTTTTTTTAAGTAAAAATAAGTCGACGTGTACATGGTTTACGTGTATGTTTTTTTGAAAAACGCGCAAGGAGTTTGCTATGTGTGCACTTTTTCCCAATTTGCAGTGAATATTTGTCATGATTAAGCAGTTTTGTTAGATAAAATTTCTAGCATAAGTGTAATTCGGCTAGTAGATTGTTGGAAGAAGTGTTCAGTAGATAAAAAGAAAAGAAACATGTCTTTACTTCGTGAAGACAAAATGGCGGCGGGAAAAAAAAAATAGAGGGTTGCTGTAGGAGAGTTGGTCGCCAAATTTTCGCCAAAAAATCGCCATGTTACCATAATGTAAAGATTAACCGCGAATTATAATGACTAGGCATTTGATTTAAATCATAACAAAGACGGAGTACATCGAAATGAAATACTACATTTAGTAAGCAATTATAAGCCAAACAAAATAAAAACATCTGCCCTGAAGATAAGGATAGTGCTGACAGATCAACTTCCAATTAATTGTGTGTGCGGCAGCGTTAAAGATAAACAAAGTTTAGATAAACAAACGTTAAAGTTTAGATAAACAAAGGATATGCCTTTATTCATTTTTTGCAGCAATTCCACTTTTTGTTTAATGGACTCCGAAACATTCTTTCGCTTTGTAGATCCGTTACATATTAGTAAATATAAACCGGAAATTCTATTTGACATAATCGAAAGTTCAAGCTTACTTTTATAAAATTCCTCGGTGAATCTTTACATTATGGTAACTTGGCGATTTTTTGGCGAAAATTAGGTGACCAACCCTGCTACAGCAACCTGCTAGTTTTGTTTTGGACGGCATTTTGTTTTCAAGAAGTAAAGGCATTTTTTTTTTTTTTTACTCAAAATTTTTTCGAATAATCTGCTAGCCGAATTACGCTTATACTATAACTTTTATGGAACAAAAATGCTTAATCATGACGAAGATTAGGTGCGAAATTGGGAGAAAGTGCAGAATCGCAAACTGCTTGCCGCATTTTTAAGAATTGCACATACTCGATATCCATGTACACGTCGAACCTATTTTCACTTTAAAAAACATCCCAGTAATTGCACAAAAATGGCATTGCGCATACTCTTGACTTTATTCTGTGTATACATCGACCTATTTTCACTTAAAAAGTCAAAGAAAATTGACAAAAATTCAATTCTTCTTACTCTTGTAAAAAGCGCCAAACAAATAAGTGGGCGATTCTGCACTTTAGCAGCGAAATTGTTTCTAAGTACTTATTAGCTAAAATCACAATCAGAATTTTCCGGAAAATGTCACATTACATGTCTCATAATCTCTCATTTCTCTGAGACAAAATAATCTGTGATTCGAACTGTGTACTTCTCAGATTACTGCTAAAGTCCCAGCTAGTAACCTCTATCGCCTTACCAAAATGTCGCCAAACTACCTGTTACCATATTCTAAAGATTAGCCAATTGCTCTAACAGTCTGCAAAAAATAATAAGCCGGATCCAATTCGAAGATTAAGGAACAACGCAATCTGCAACATTAACTGAAATAGATAATTAGAGCTTAGCTTATACCGTCCGTTATACATTAAACGCACATTCGTAAACGTATTTTGCGCATGCGCACACGCTAATTCACAGCTGCTGACGCATGCGCAGAAAGTTTGTAGCTTTGAGGTCCGGATTATGGATGTCCGAATTAACGACTTTTGACTGTATAATTTGTGTTCACATCAGATTTTTTTAAAGCCTGATTATAGATACTTCTTATTTCAATTCCTTTATTCAGGACACACCAATGGCTGAGTAGATTATGAACATTGGCAATTTGATTTGGTTCAAATCTTGGCAAATGGTCTGAATACATAGATATTTTTATGTTTTCCCTCATCCATAATATAAACATAATCCAATTTCTCTTACAAAGACATACCTCCCTTAGATAGATATTACTCATGTGTTTTGCTATATTCAATCAAACAAAATTTTATTGTCTTCCTTCATCAAAAAATGCACAATTATTAGTCTGAAAGAAGCTAAAGTCTTTCAAATAACTCCCTAGGACAGAGCTTCTTAAACTGTGGGGTCACGGGACCTGCAGTAGGGGTTGCCAAAAATTTTAGCAATTTTGATATTTTTTAAACTTATAATAATTTTACAATTATTAAATATTTTTATATAATGTATCTGAAAATAGATAGAGATAAGATAATGCAAACAAAGAAAAATCAAAACTTTTCAATGCTTTTTTTATACACTAGAAATGTTCATTTTACATTAAAAATTACAATTAATGACCTAAAACTGCAATAGTATATTACAGTACAAGTGAAGAAACTGACAGTTTCACTCACGCATGCGTCGGATTTGCGCAATGCTTATGGAGTCCCCACATTAAAAAGTTTAAGAAACCCTGCCCTAGGACATTCCCCTTCATTTATCTTCCCCCCTTCTTAACACTCCAGCTTTACCATAAAGTTCTTCACTTTATTTTTTATACCGAGATTTCTGAGACAGAACATTTATTAGATTCTCAAAAAATATTTATTTTTTTCCACTCATTAATAATATTAAAGAAAATATTTAAAGTTATCAAAATGATTAATGAAGGAGGAAAATATATTACATAATTTTGTAAATAAGTTCAAATGCAAGGGGTACAAACCATATAATTCAAGGAAAATAGATAACATGACTGACTACATAAGTAAGAATAATATAAGTAACAAGATAGAAAGGGAATTCATTATAAAGATAATCAATCCCCCCCCCAAATAGCTCACCTTTCCCAAACCTTTTGATAAATAAAGAGCTAAAAATAAGGAAAGAAAAGAATAAATGGAATAAGATTTCAGCTCATGGAAGCTAGTAAAAGTGGAATGTTTTACAATAAAGTGCAATCATTAAATAATTGAAAGATATGACATTCTCTTGGCTTTAGATTCATGTTTGATGATATTGTTACATTTTTCTTTTCTGACACCAGTTGTCACGTTATTTTCTTCCTTCACATTCGTACGGGGTTCATAGATTTGGAGTGAATAACGACAACACTTGATGGAGTATCAAAACACACTTTATTTACCAATATTAATCAGGACAGCTCCAAAACACTTTTACAGTCGTCGAAGATCTACTATAAATATGCTGGAACAACCAGCGGCACTGCCTTGACACAGTAGAGACAGCTTCACTGCAAAGCACCAGAGTACAGCTCCCGACTCTGCTCAGTCGTTCTCGGTACTCCACGTACTCTCGAGACTCTCCATGCAACTCACAATGCACTCGACGACACAGAGAGCATAGCTCTTAAATCTTCGGTTCAGTTGTTCCCAGAGCTTAACACACTCTTTCGATGATGCACTAACCACGATACACTAAGAGACTCTTCGATGCACTCGACGACCAACTCGGCGCTAGACTTTGAGACACTCGCTCATGACTATCAGCTTGCTAGACGAGGCACACACTCACTAACTGACTGCAGACCAGTAGGGTTTACATAGATTTCGGCTTGTGTTCGAGAACATTCTGGGCTAAGCCGGTAAGAATTCGTTCCAGGAGGTTCTCCATCTGCCCATGGCATATCACTAATTTTGTCACCAAATGTAGCAACCCTGCCTTCCCTTGCCATTTTATGACAATCCTAAAAGTTCTTTGCAAGGAAGCTATCTTACCGCACCTGTATATTTCGTAACAATATTTAAACATTAAATATTGTGACATTCAGAACCGATTTTCTTGCTATTCTAACTGGATTTGGTTATAAAAATTTCAATAATTAGTATCAAATCTCGGTGCAAAACTATTCATAGCCTGGAAGCTATTGTATATAACTCATTAGTATCAATTCTCTCTAGCCCAACAGCAGCCGAGCGGTAAAGTCGCTGAACACTGGTAGTTCAGTCCGAGGTTCGAATCCCGCGAATGGGCTGGCTGCATGGGTGTTTTTGTGGTTTTCCCCATGTGTAATGTGTATACGAGCCAGTTTCCCTTAGAAAGTCCTCCACGAAGGTATCCCTCCCCTTAGGCAGATAGCCCTAGTGTGCTTTGCCGTAATTAAATACACACACACATCAATTCTCTCTAAGTGCCTGATATGTATGAACATATATGTAAGGCTACTGAACATTATTTAATAAATAAGTAAGAGACTTTTCATACATTAATTCCCATAATAAAATAATGCAATAAAAGAATTTTCACATACTATTTCTACTGTTAAATAATAGTTTATTATCATTTTTTAAAGTACAGTTTATATTAAATCAATTAAAAATAATTAATGATGCAATATTTCAAAAATTAAAAAGTATATTACAGTTTATCAATTTCCTGACCTTTTATATGTGGAAAGCACACTACTAACATCAGAACCATTCTGTGCTGATTCAGGTATCTTGCCATCATCTGCAAGTTTAGTTTCTTTACGCAAAATAGCCTCGGTTTCCTACAAAATAAATGAATATATTTTTAAAAAAAAGGCTCAAAGCTTTTAGATTTTACATTACGCACAAAGTTTTTTTTTTTTTTTTTTTTTTAACGCTGTGTTACTTTTATTTATTCACTATCATTTTCTTCGCAATTAAACCATAAAATTCAGTTCAACTGCAATCAATATCGCAAAATAATTTTAAAATGAGCACATCTTTAGAATTTCCGATAGACAGACTCGCATGCTGGAGATAATTTTTTTTTTTTTTCAAACAGTGCTGCCATTCCTTCCTTTGAAATCATTGAGTTTGCTAATCTTAAAATCTGACAAAATATAAAATAGATAATAAAATTCCAAGTTAGGGCCTACAGGCGCCCATATTCGGTGGAGGGATACGTTATTCAAAATTTAATGGCTCTAGGTACCGCTGCTTTATCACAATGCAAGAAACATACACACATTTATGCAGATTCTTCATTATTTAATTTCCTTAAATATAATACAGGGCACTAATAATATTTGGTGGCAACAATTTGAAAAGTGAACCGACATTTAAACACAAAATGCCAAAATGAAATTAATAATCCTTCTGAGCAAACTGCCATTTTGAACTAAATATAAATTAGATAAATTTAAAATAGTCTGCAGCTTGCAACATAGCTAGCAATTTTTGTTTTCTTTTCTTTGCCCCCCCCCTTTTTTTTTTCCATTTAAAATTAATAGCCATTTATCCTGAAAAGGTGCAAATCTGCACTACAAAATTTTTATCTCTTGAACTTGTGATCAAGTGGTGGCATGTAGCTGCTTGCTCATGTCGCCATTTATTAACATCAATGGAAAGTGCAGCAACACATGAGTGTCACATGCCTTTTGGATTTCGATCCCAGGTCTGTTTCATTCGAGTCGAATTCTCTGTAATTAGCGCAAAAGAGCTCCCATGCGCTAGGTTCAAGAATTCCAACTCTTCCAAATTTACGAGTGGCTCTTGAGATAACTACACACTAGCCTCCCAAGCATTTCTAGTACGATAAAAGAGGAGAAGGCCAGTGACTTGATGTGATTTATCGTTGTGTTGATGGGTGGTGGCTTCAGGTCCAGTGTGTAGGCATGCTCAGCTGGATCTGTTGAAGCATGATTGAGAGGGCTTGGCCTGCTGGTATTTGTGTTGCCATTAGATTGAGGCAGAACTAGTGTGAAGATGCACCTTGGCACCTGTGACGTAGTTCATCATTTTGTCCTCAGTGGAGGGAAGAGTTTACAGTCATCCAAGTAATGGTAATTGCTAAGTGAACATATCCAGGTCACCAAAGTGATGATTAATTGGCGGTATGTACATTCGTTGCTGCTTCGCATGAAGTTGTTTGCCCGTGTCGCTATCTATTAACATCGATGAGAAGTGCAGCAGCGCATGAGTTTCACATGCCCTTGAAGAGACCTTGGGTTTCGATACCAGGTCTGTTTCATGCCAGTCAAATTCTCTACAACTAGCAAAAAAGAGTTCTCATGCCAAACGTTCAAAAATTCTGAAGCTTTCAAATTTGAGAGGGCTAAGTGGCTCTCGAGATCGCTACATACTGAAATTTTAATCTCACAAAATTTATCACAACAAAAATTACTAAAAAATCAAAAAAGACAAATACAGTCAAAAGTCTTTAATTCGGACTCGTCGGGACTTCGGCAATTCCGGATTATAGATCATCAGTTTAAATCTGGTAAGATGGCATGCAAAATTATAAAATTAAAAATATGAAACCGTAATTTATGAAATAAAGAGCAATTATGATCTAAAGGGTATCAAAATTTATAAAAAAATAGCTTAATATTTATTTGTTTACTTTATTAAACATTTCTTTCAACACGCGCATGCGTAAAGCATACATTACGCATACTCAAAATTAGAAAATTACAACCAGAAAACTATTTGATGTGTATTCGTGATATTTATAATTACGAGGAATTTGATTTAAATCCTATCAAAGACAGAGTACGTCGAGATGAAATACTACATTTAGTAAGGAATTATAAGCCGAATAAAATAAACATCTGTCCTGAAGATAAGGATAGTGCTGACAGATCAACCTCAAATTCATTGAGCGCCGCGACGTTTCCGCCCCTCCCGCAGAGCAGCGTGAAATTGATAAACAGATTTCGGGAATGGTTAGAGAAACAAAGGTTATGCCTTTATCCATTTTTTGCAGCAGTGTCTAGATGTTTATGCTTATATGGAAGGGCTTTTAATTTTAGTAATAACATTTTATGGTACCTTCTTTTTAGAGCAACCGCAAAATTTAATTGGTAATCAACCAAGATGTAATATGTAGCGAGGCATAAGAATACATGGCGAGATATCTCGGTTGATTAGCAATTCAATCTTGGGGGCCGGCTTTTTAACCATCTTTTTATCACAGATATCAACAATGACAAATCTGAATATTTTATTCTGAATTAAATAAGACACAACAAAAATCCTTAGTTATCAACACTATATGGCAGAAAAATGTCATCTTTTACACTAGTAGTATTTCAAAAAATTACCTGTAAATTATGTTTCTTTAGAAACTGCAAAACAGCAATAAGAGCATTTTTGTTCAAATCGCTTTGCTTTTCATCTTCTTCATTACCCTTCTCGCTTTTGATATCTTCAACAGCCATAATATCAAATGGCTCAGCATTTTCAGTTTTAGGACTATCATTTGAAATGTTATTAATTACAGTTGTCACAGGAGTAGAATTCTCGGCAAGATTAGAATTTCCAGCATCATCCATATTTTCTAAGTTAAGCACCTATGGATAGTAAAATAACAAACGGAAACTTAGTCTAGTTGGCAGTAAAAGCTAATGCATTTTATTAATTAAAAAAATTTTAAACAAATTCACGATACATAAAAAAAAAAAACCTACAAATATTCATTAAATCCAAACGCTGCTAAATCAGAATTACGTTTTTATAAATGTAAAACAGGACATGCGGATGCAAATAAACAAATGCAACACTCAAACTGTTTCACGATACAGTCTCTTCGGACAACACAAACTTTTCACAATTCCAAAAACATGCTGATCACTCAATTCACTTCACTCACAATGCTCAAAACAAAGATTTTTATGTTTCAACGCACTTCGAACTTCTACTGTATTACTTTTATTACAGTACTATTACTGTAATTGTACTTACTTTGGTTATCGAATTATGGTTCTATTAATAAAATTGTATTACTTTTATTACAGTACTATTAATGTAATTGTACTTACTTTGGTTATCGAATTATGGTTCTGTTAATAGAATTATAAGAAATTTCATTAATTTTGTAATGAAATTTGACTTGATAATGAATATTTTTCATTGCAAAAGGATTATATGTTTATAAAGTAGATAAAAATAAGAAACTAATTTACAAACAATAAAATGAAAGATATTTGTGTTAAAATGTGTTTCTCCCTTTAAATGTTTTTTTTTTTCTGGCAACATTTCGTACTTGCAATGAAATGTCAAGAATGTTTACAGTTCGTTGATTTATTTTCTTTTTAGGCGTTTAAGCTTAAGCTTTATGAAGTAAGTTTTATTAATCCTTTATGATATTTTCCAGTCATGTACTATTCATGAGTGTATTCCTGTTATTTTTATTCATTTAAAAAACAATACAAATAGTTTAAGCTATCCTTCATGCTTTATCATGTAATTATTTTCATATTTTTAAGGCAGAATTTTAATGGTGGCATTTGCTTATCAGCTAATTTGCACAGGTAGTTAAAGCTGTTACTCATAAAAATATCTGAGTCGTAGTGAGGTATGAAGTAATACCTGAACATCCGTGTCGAGTTGTTCCATCTCTTGAGGGCAATTTCTTCCTGTGCAGTTGCTTCAAATATTGCAGCTCTGTAGTTATGAAACATTTGCATCTAAATTTTTGGCAAGAGTTTACGGAACTTGAGAAGAAATTTGAATATATTTCTGCTAAACTTAAGGTAATTTTCTCTGTGTGTTATCAGTGATGTGATTAATATCATCTTTTAAAAGTCATGTCTGCTAGTGTTTAGAACTTATATATATTGATAAACTCAGTAAAACTAATTGTGCATTAAATATCAGTTAAAGTAAACAAATGTTGTTGTTTCAGTGTTTGATTTAGTAACTGTGTTTTTAAATTTCTTGACTGGAAAAAGGCTGAGTAAAATTATGCATTCATAATTGTTTTGAAATCTCTAGCTGTATTACATATTTACAAGATGTCTATTTGTTGAAGAATTTCTTTTCACTAACTTCATTAATGTTTAAATTTTGTTTTCTGCGAGTCGTATACTCTGATAAATTTGTGAATTACACACAAGCACGGGAGGCACTTTCTTATGTTTATTATTATTTATTTTACCATTTTTATCTGATATGCTAGACAGTTAAAAGTGACAGTACATGTTGATTTATGCATTAGAGTGCTGATTTTAAAGATTATACTCCAATTATTTTAACATGTAATGAATTTTGAAAATTTGTTGAGTTATTATGCCCCCCCTCCCGAATTCCTTTCTTGATAATGAATGACTTGCTATGAAAGAAGAGGATTTATCAGTATATTCCTTGAATCTTTTTTTCTATAAGCAGGGGTGTTTGTGCTCTGGGGAAACCCCGGAATTCCGGGGATTTTGAACTTCGATACCCAGAAATTCCGGGGATCGTCGTTCAAAAGGAAGTAGGAATAATAATGAATTACCGTATTTATGCAAATCTAATGCGCCATCGAATCTAATGTGCATCCCCATTTTAAATCTTTAAAAAATAAAAAAATGTTTGTCGGCGAATGTAATGCGCATCAATGATATGAGGAATTTATTGAATCTTATTTTATACAAATATGGATTTGTATATAAACTATCAATCAATGGTATGATAATTTTATTTAAATTTAGATACCATATTTTATACAACAATGGATTTATACATAAAGTAGCACAACATAGAATTAACCTATTAGTGGGCTTATGTTATGTGAAACAATCATTGTTCATTACCACTACCGTATATATGGTACCTATCATAAAATATGAACATGAAATAAATCGTAACATTTCTATAGCTAACAGTTTCTACAAACCGTGATTAATAGTAATCATCTTTATTCACTAATGTTTTCATCACTGGAATCCTCGCAGCTCTCTTCGTCAGAAGCAGATTCATTTCTTCTTTCCTCATCGTCATCCTCGGCGTTCCACAGCACGTCATCTTCACTGCCATTCAATGAATTTGAAATGCAGCATTTCTTGAAAGATTTTGCAATCATTGGATCTTCGATGCTTTTCCAGGCAGCAGAAACCCAGTGTGCAACAATGTGCGGTGCAGTACGCTTAATCTTTCCTATCGGGGTCAATTCATGGTTTGGCTCACAAAACCATTTTTCGTACTCTGCCTGAACGTACCTCTTAAAAGGTTTATTTATACTAACGTCCAGTGGTTGTAACACAGACGTCATTCCTCCAGGAATGATTACAAGATCACTGCCTAGGCTGCGCGTGTTCTTTTTTACGGCGTCGGTGAGATAACCACGAAATGCGTCCAGACAAAGCATTGATGGTGGATTGAAGAGCCTACCGGGACGGCGTTCCCATACATTTCGGAGCCAATCAAGCATTAATGATTTCGTCATCCACCCCTTCTCTTGATTTCGAATCAGGACATCATCTGGGAACAGCTTTTCATTCTTAGGGGTTTTAAGGCTTGTTTTCCGTTTGAAGATTAAGAAAGGGAGAAGTTTGCACCCGTCTGCTGTTATTGCCAGCATCACTGTTACGCGTTGTTTTTACACATCCCGAAGTTTTGAATGATAACTTCCTTAGTCCCCTTCTCCGTAATGGTGTAGTTAATGAAGGCATATCAAACCAAATTGGCGTCTCGTCAGCAGCGTTGCCAATTTGCTCCCATTGAAAAATTCCTTTTCCTTCCGAAGTGTGAGATGAGACATACCGCTGAAATGTTAGTAGTTTTTCCTCAAAATCTGCAGGACAGCATTTTGGCCATATTGTTGTACGACATCTTAGAGATAAGCCCATCCACTTCATAAACCGATCCACCCATCCACTGCTAGCCTTAAACTCTTGTTTCGGTATTCCAAGAACTTCAGCCTCCTCTTTTGCTTTATTTTTTATGGTGTCACTAGTCACAGGTTGTTCATTTTTCTTCCTTTCACGTACAAATTCCAAAATTTTTTCTTCAATTTTAGGGTGTCTTCCTTTGCGAGAGCTAGTGAATTTCTTTCTACTAGCTTTAGTTGCAAACAGTGCCAATTTCTGTTGCCGCCACAAGCGAACACTGCTCTCAGCTACGTTGAACTCTCCCCTGCCTTTCTATTGCCATTTTCTTCAGCATAAAGAATTACTTTACGTTTGAAAGTAGCATCATATGACATTCTCCTCTGTTTGCCCTCCCTTTCGTGACTACGTACTCTGCAGTTCGTATCCTCTATGCAATAATGTGTCAACGATAAATGTAATGGTAAATCTAGTCGACAAAAACAGTAATCCATTGTTATGATTTAAATTTGGTTGACGTCATCGGCGAACTTTGCATTCGAATCTAATGCACCATCGAATCTAATGCACACCCCAATTTTGAATATTACATTTGGCCAAAAACGATGTGCATTACATTCGCGTAAATACGGTATTTATTTTGATCTGGGTAATTTTGTTTGCTTTGAAAGCAGAAAACGCAAGGTCAGTGTGTGTGGTGAAAACTTTTCCTTTCTTTCTCCAAAGGCAGTGATAATGCATGAAAAGGGGGAAAAAACTTCTTTTTTGTTCTTTCCTTATTGCGAGTTATGACTCATTCCCCCGGTTCTCAGTCATTCTCTTCTGGATTCTTTTCGGCAAGTAGGCGCAGCAGAAAAGAAAGGGAGAGACTTCGTTTGACCAGATGTGCGATCACATGACTCTGGGTTCAAAGGTCTTATCTCTCCTGGCGTGGTGCTAATAAGTAGAGAAGGGGGATTTTTCGCCGTATTAGCTATTTATCATTGATCGCTTCTCAACTTTTTTTTCTCCGCTGTGTAAAATTTTCGTTTCATTTATTGATGCACGTGTAAATTTTTCGTTTCGTTTATTGAAATATTTTTTTATTTATGTACGCAAGAGAATTTCACTATGAAATTTCTCGATATAAATAGTGATATTATACAATTAGAAGAAGGTGTCCGGAATGCATTTAGGTGGAATTGGATTGAACGGAGATATGGTAATGGGGATACCATCGGCACATGGTGCAAGAAAATAAATGTTGCTGGACAAGCATATTGTGTTTTTTGTAACTCACTGCTGAAGTATGGTGGGGAAGGATTCAAGGCTTTCACAAGTCATTCTAAAACTGTGACGCACATAAAATATTCAGAAAGTGCATTAGACATTCAATGACTTTAAGTAATTATGCTAATTCAAAAAATACTGATGACTTACTGGAGACTGATGCTCGGCCATTGGATATAGTGATAAGAAAAGCACGCCAAGAAGTATTAATAACTTCGTTTATCGCCGAGAATTCACTTTCTTTCAATGTAGCTCCCAATTTAATTGAACTCTGCAAACAGTTGAGCCACGATCAGACGGCACTAAACTCGTTGGAAATGTCCAGGACTACTGTATGTTATAAGGTAAAATATGGGCTCACAAAAACTATTAAGGAAAATATCATTAAAACTTTAAAGGAGACTCCATTTTCTCTAAATTTGGTTGAAAGTACTAGCAATGCTCAAGAAAGTATACTGGCAATATTGGTGCAGTTTTATGACAACAAGCAAAATGAAGTTGTAGTTCATCATTTTGCATCTCTAAAGATGGAATCTTGCAATTCAGAAGCTGTTTTTAAAGCAGTTGTTAATACTATTGAAGATAATATTCCATGGGCAAACTTAATTAGTGTATTAATGGACTCATGTAAGAACCTGTGTGGAAAAAAAAAATGGTGTTTGAAACCAGACTACGATCAAACAAAGCACCCCACTTATTAGATATTGATGGTGACACATGTCACACAGCTAATAACTGTGCAAAAAAAAATTTGCTTCATTTTTTGATAGATACTACTTAGAAGATTTGTTTGATGACATCTATTTAATATGAAAAGCTGCAATAAAAGAGAAAATTTTTTCAAAATCTGTGAATCCCTTGCCATTAAAAAACTTAAGCCCTTCAAGAGACCAGACCATAGGTGGGTGTACATTTTATGTGTTTTAGAAAGAATCAAAGATCTGTGGGATGCTCTTATTGCATTTTATTTTCACTACTTGGATAAAACTGATAAAAGGGATTATTTTTCTTATGTTGAAACTGTATACAATAAAAGAAATATTTCTGCAGCTCAGAAAAAAAATTGTTGAAGGGGTGTATTCTTGCTTGCATTCCCAACAACTCACAAAGGATGCTTTAGCTCGGAAAAAAAGAATACTAAATGGGTTATTTGTTATGCAAAACAAAACTTTATTGCATATGACATTATATTCAGCAGTATTACCAAAGTTCTATATTAAATTATTTGAAACAAAAAAACCAATGCTTCATTTAATACATTCCAGTATTTATAAATTGATGGCAAAATTTTTCTCTTTTTTTATGAAGCCAGAAAATATAGAGTGCACATCTTATAATGATTTATTAAAGGTTGATGTCACAAATCCAGGATTCCATCTATCTAGCAAAGTAATATTTACTGGTGCAGAAGCTTCCACTCTCCTGAAGAAATTTCTCTGATGAAAGCTTATACTAATTCAGCACAGGATATGAAACAGAAATTACCCCTTAAAAATTCATATCTAATTAGTTTTACAGCATTAGATCCAGAGCTAAGAGGTAAAACCAGTACAATATTAGCTTTTGAAAAATTATCATCTTTTATGACCTATATTTTTAGTGATAATGAAAAAGTAGAAGCTGAAAAGGTTATACCAGAGTGATGTTGATATCACCAAGAAATGCTCTACACATCTGATGAAAGTGGAAATCAAGTCAAGTGTACAATTGATACATATTGGTCTAAGTTTTAATTTAAAAGATGATTTCACAAATGAATAAGTATCTACATTGGCTAAATTGGTCAAAGCCTGCCTTAGCTGCTTCCATGGCCCATTAGTGGAAAGTGCATTCAACTTAATGGATACACTTGTCACTGACTATAGAATCTCTCTTAAGATTGATTCCCTGGATGCAGTGCAGACTATTAATAGATTTAATGGCTTCTAAAGAAACCTCATGTGAAAAATATGGCTCAAAAAAATCCAATGACTGATCCAATTCACAAAGATCTCTTACTAAATATGAACAGAAGTTGGAAAACATATCAAGAGGACTTAAAAACATGTTATTTCAGATGAGTCACCTATAAAAGTCTATGAAAAAACACTTCTACATTAGCAGAAAAGCAAACTGCTTCTACCTCTGCATGTGCTTCTCGAGGAAATTTTCTTCAACTGTAAATGAGGAAAATAAAAGTCAACCTTCCTGCAATTATGAAGTTCACCACAAAAGAAAGACAAGCCCACAAACATCAGAAAATAACAAAAAAGCAGCAGAAATTAGATTATTTTTTTTAAAGAATTAATTCAGGTAATTTAAAATATTTACATAAAATGTAGTAGTTTATATGTTTGAAAATTTATGGTTATTAATTTTGCAAAAAAAGTAATTCATTGAACTTTTATAATTAGGTCATTCATAATTGTAATTTTTCATTTCTCTTCCCCCCCCCCTTTTCGAAACTCCAAAATGTCGGTAGTAAGTCCATAAAAGTTTCAGGGGATTTTTTGGGGTCCTACAAACACCCCTGTATGAGTTTCTATTGTAAAATGTCACTAGTAATATTACTAGTGGTTATATATATGTCATGCAAGTAATAAATTTTAATGCCATATAGCGGACGCAATGTCATCGCGTGGTGGCCGTAGCAAAAGTTAAAATGCGTTTTTCTCAAAACTGTATTTTGGGAAGTGGAGACCTTCCTTCAGAAAAGAAAAATATTTTTCAAAATTTATTTTTTCATAATTAAAACCTCTGCTGAAGCTAGAAGAAGAGTGATACATCCTTATTTAAACTGATAAATTCTGAAAACATTAATTAAAATTTTTTTTTTTGTTATTGCTCATGCTATCATCGGTAGTCTATATCAGGAAAACCTGTTCTAAGAATTGACGAGGCACATATCTTTGGGATCCTTTTAAAAACTCCATTTTCCTATAAACTTTCGGTAAAAGTTTACAATTGGGGGCCCCTTGTTTTTTTGGCGATTCTTTTTTGACGCCAAGATCGGCACCAGGAAGGCACAATTCAAGATGGCCGCTATACAAAATCAAAATAAGAAGTCAAAGACCTACACAAACCTCAGGTGTCCATGTACACATCGAACTCTGTTTTCAACTTAAAAAAAAAGTCAGAGAATTGCACAAACTAGGCCATTGCGCACTGGCTTTAAATTTGTCCATGTACACATCGATCTATTTGCTCATTAAAATAAAAATCGGGAAGCTAAAACAAAGTTAAAACTATCATGGTAACTAGAGGTGAGGTTTTATTGCCGAAATTTGAAAAAAAATTGTCGCTAATCGAAGGGGCACCCAATTCTACACTAGAGCCAAACTTTCTAGAGGTGTATGTATTATGTCTCGGAATTGGTAATGATTATTTGCAAAACATCCACCATTGTACAAGTTTGGTATCTTATCAGTGGGCCTGTTATGTGGCTTGGCTAGCAGGGTTAGTAATTACCTCTACAACTACTTAAATCTTATTGATGCTACAAACAGTAATTTAATTCTTGTGAAGATGTTAACATTTTCATGTTTCAAGACTTTATTTGGCTGCCTGACAGAGACAAATGGCCAAAAAAAGTGTATTTTTCATTATTAAGGTAAAATAAAAATAGTTACAATTTATTTTTCTCATATCCCAAAATAATTAAAAATGAAAGTAACAGAAATACAGTAGATAGCTGATAATCTGGCCTAAATGCGCTGTGGCCTGCTTGGATGACTGGGAAAGTGAGATGGCACGGAAAGTAACATGTACAACATTTAAGGCTGTCAAAATGCATTTATTATTTCAAAAATTACATACTAGAACACACTACAAGTTTATATTGTATGTACTGCAAAGAACACAATCAAACCTGATAAATAAATTGGGTAACTGGATTTTTTTTTTCCCTAACTGTTTGATATTGTCTCGCAGTTAGATCTCATGGTTCGTGCAGAAGTAAATCATCCAGTAATGAAGTTTCTTCCAGCTGCTCCATGGGTTTGTGTTCTTCAGTGTAAGAAATTCTGTTCTCATTTTCTACCATCACTACTTCATCACCTTCTGTATCATTTTTGTTCCGCACCATATTAATGATTTCTTCATCTTTCACTTCATATTCCTCATCTTGAGAAAACCATTCAAGTTCTTCAATGTGAATGAATCTTCCACTCCTTCATCACATCCATACACTACTTTTAGCATAGACAACATCTCTTCATTAGCCTTCTCAGGATCAATTCTTTCTGGAGATTCTTCTTCCTGTCCCTCAACCTCCAAATAACAAAACTGTTCAAGATTTTGCAATTGTCATCGAGCTGATGCTTTCCCACGACTAAGTAAGAGGCAACATCCTTTAAGTTCAAACTTTGCAAACTCTCGATCATATCTTCTGCTCAATTAATAAAATCAAAGTTGAAAAAGATTCTCCAAAACACTTTGATCCATGAGCAGCTGACAGACTGCTGCAACATTATTTGGGGGTAAAAGCATGACCTTTATTTCTTTATTTTGAAATTCTTCATTAGGGTGAGAAGAAGTATTATCCAAAAGTGATACAATCAAATACCGAAAATCCGCCAACTCTTGAAAGGGCCTCCAAAAAGAAAAATTAAAAATTAAAATTATGGTGAGCTGTCGATTTTGGAGTATTTTGGTCATTTACAGATATATTTTAATTTATATTCTTTATTAACCTTTTCTTTTTCTTTTATTCTTAGTTTTTTAATAATAATGCTCATATATCATTATATATATATTTTAGTATTTATTTACCTTTTATTCTCATGTTTTTTTTTCTATATTTACATATGTATGAGCATGAGAGAATATATTAATAATATATTTATAAATAATTCTTTTTAAACTGTTTATATATCAGCTAAAAAGCTAATGGGTTCATACCTCATAAATGAAAAATTATTATAATTCCTTCTTTATATTTATTATAATTATGTATATGTTTAAGATTTATCATTGTATTGAGATGTCAAGATTGATTTTTAATTTGATTTGGGTTAGAATTAAATATAATTAGATTTATTGTTTTAATATATAAACGTTATAGTATTTCGATTGAGTCATGTTTAAAGTATTTTTTTGTTCAAAGTTTAGGTTCTGCAATTTTTATGTCTTTGTTTTATTTTCGGAGAGAAATTATAATTGTTTTAGGATCTATAATTTTAAATATAAATTGGGGGAGGTCCCTTTTTTTTTTGATTTCCTTCAGTTTGTGACGGAGTAGATTGAATGGTATGTTTTATGTTAATGAGATTACAAAAAATTATTCCTTTAATAATTATAGTTATGGTATTGAATAGAATTTTATGAGTTATAATTGTGATCAGATTAATTGTTGGGGTGGTGGGTTCTTTTTCTCAAAGAAGAATTAAACGGCTATTTGCTTATTCATCTATTCATCATATTGGATGATTAATTATATGTCAGATTGAGAAAATAGGATTATGAATATATTATTTGATTATTTATTCAATAATTTTATTAAGAGTAGTTATTTTATTATTAGAGGAAGAAATTGTAAGAATAATGGATGTAGATAAAATTAAAAATAAATGATTATTTGTATTTGGAATATTAAATCTAGGAGGAATACCTCCTTTATTAGGTTTTTTTTTTAAATGATGAGCTTTAATGAAGATTTGTTGAGTGTGATTTAGTAATAGTAATATATAATTATATTATCAGTAGTAATATTTTATGTATATTTTCGTATAGTTTATGATGTGGTGATAGGATTTAAGATGGAGAGAAAATGAATGTCTTTTTTTTATAAAAATAATAAAATTGATATTTTATCAAATATAGGAGTATTGTTGGGTCTAATGGGTGGAGTAATTTTAGGAATTTTATAGAATAGTAAGATAAGTATTCTGTTAGCTTTCAAGGTTAGAAGTGGAAGCAAATATGAATTTACAGTTCATCATCAATATGATTTCTAAAGTTAGAATATTAAATTTGCAATTTAATGTTTTAGATTAAACTAAGTTACTGCGATGAATTTATTCAACTAATCATAAGGATATTGGAACATTATATTTAATTTTTGGAGTATGATCTGCAATGTTAGGGACTTCGATAAGAATAATTATTCGTACTGAATTAGGACGAACTGGAAGATTATTAGGAGATGATCATTTATATAATGTAATTGTTACTGCTCACGCTTTTGTAATAATTTTTTTTATAGTTATACCTATTATAATTGGTGGATTTGGGAACTGATTAGTACCTTTAATATTGGGGGCTCCTGATATAGCTTTTCCTCGAATAAATAATTTAAGTTTTTGATTATTACCACCTTCATTGTTTTTATTAATTATATCTTCTATAGTAGAGATAGGAGTAGGAACAGGTTGAACTGTTTATCCTCCTTTGTCTTCATTAATAGGACATGCAGGTAGATCAGTGGATTTTGCTATTTTTTCTTTACATTTAGCTGGGGCTTCTTCTATTATAGGAGCAATTAATTTTATTTCTACAATTATTAATATGCGTTCATATGGAATAATTATAGAAAAAGTTCCTTTGTTTGTATGATCAGTATTAATTACTGCAGTATTATTATTATTATCATTACCTTACCTGTTCTAGCAGGAGCAATTACAATGTTATTAACTGATCGAAATTTTAATACTTCTTTTTTTGATCCTTGTGGAGGAGGTGATCCTATTTTATTTCAACATTTATTTTGATTTTTTGGGCATCCTGAGGTGTATATTTTAATTTTACCTGGATTTGGAATTATTTCTCATGTAATTAGTGCTTCTTCTGTAGGAAAGCGGGAGCCTTTTGGAAGATTAGGGAATAATTTATGCTATAGTAGGAATTGGAGGTATAGGATTTGTTGTTGAGCTCATCACATATTTTCTGTAGGGATAGATGTTGATACACGAGCTTATTTTACTGCTGCTACTACTAGTTATTTATTGCGGTTCCTACTGGAATTAAAGGTATTTAGATGAATAGCTACTTTAAGTGGATCAGATTTTAAAATAGATACTCCTATATTGTGGAGTATAGGGTTTGTTTATTTATTTACTTTAGGAGGAATTACAGGGGTATTTTTTTATCAAATTCTTCTTTAGATATTATTCTACATGATACATATTATGTTGTTGTAGCCCATTTTCATTATGTTTTAAGAATAGGGGCAGTGTTTGCAATTTTGGCTGGAATTACCTATTGATTTCCTTTATTTTTTGGTGTAAAATTAAGAGAAAAGAAAACAATTTTACAGTTTTATTTAATATTTATTGGAGTTAATTTAACTTTTTTTCCTCAACATTTTTTAGGATTAAATGGAATACCACGACGTTATTCTGATTATCCAGATGCTTATTTATATTGAAATGTAGTTTCTTCTTTTGGGTCAATTTTGTCAGTATTTGCTGTTATGTATTTTGTAGTAATTGTGTGGGAAGGAATAGTAATAAAGCAATCTGATTTTATAATTTATCATGTAAGTTCTTCGTTAGAATGAATAAATAGAACACCTCCTTTAGATCATACTTTTAATCAATTGAGATTAATAAGTAATTAATTTTGCCAATTTGAGGAAATTTATATTTTCAAAATGCTTCTTCGCCTGTAATGGAACAATTATTAATTTTTTTCCATGATCATTCTATAATAATTATAGTAATAATTATGGTATTAGTAGGATATATTTTATTGAGATCATATGTAAATAAAAATTATAATTTAGGAATATTTGAAGGACAAGAGTTAGAAATAATTTGAACAGTTCTTCCGGCTATTATTTTGCTTATAATTGCTTTCCCTTCATTACGATTATTATATTTAATAGAGGAAGTTGAATCACCGGAATTAACTGTAAAGGTGGTGGGTCATCAATGATATTGATCTTATGAATATAGAGATTTGGGTTTAAGAAGTTTTGATTCATATATAGTTTCAAGAGAAGATGAACCAATATTTCGATTATTAAATGTTGATAATTGTTTGGTTATTCCTTATAATACTAATGTACGTATAGTTGTATCAAGAATAGATGTTATTCATTCTTGAACAATTCCGTCTTTAGGAATGAAAACGGATGCAATTCCGGGTCGATTAAATCAATTATCATTTTTATTTAATCGTATGGGGTTGTTTGTAGGTCAATGTTCGGAAATTTGTGGAGTAAATCATAGATTTATACCTATTATGATTTCTGTTGTTCCTCGGTTAGAATTTTTAATAGGATGAATATAATATGGTGACCGAATAAAGGTGTTAGTCTCTTAAATTAATTATGAATAAAATAGTTAAAATAATTTATTTTTTGTCAAACTAAAGTTAAAGAGGGATTCCTCAGTTAATACCATTGAGTTGAGATTATTCTATTTTAATAGTTTTAATAATTTTGATATTAAAAAGTGATGTTATATTCAAATACATCATTACATTTAAATGTAAAGAAAGGTTTTAGAAAAAAGGTTTTAGAAAAAAGAAATTAGGTTGATGATGATAAGTTTATTTTCTGTATTTGATCCTACTTCATATTTAGGAATATATTTAAATTTTATTATTTTGTTTTTAGTAATAATAATATTATCCAATAAAGTATTATATAATTGAAAGAGGATATTATAGAGTTTGGACTATAATTTCTGGAGAATTAAATAAAATTTTTAATGAAGTTTCAAGTCCTAATTATCGAGGAATAGTATTTATTTGTGTTGTTACATTTTTGTATTTAGTTATTAGAAATATAATTGGTTTATTTCCTTTTGTTTTTACTTCTACAGCTCACCCTATAATTACAATAGGTTTAGGATTAGTATTTTGAGTTACTTTTTTTCTAATAGGATGAAGAAAAAGATTCTATATTAGTGCAGCTCATTTAGTTCCTGAAGGAAGACCATTATTATTAGCTCCTTTAATAGTTTTAATTGAAAGAGTAAGACATTTAATTCGCCCATTTACTTTATCAATTCGTTTAGCAGCAAATATAATAGCAGGACATTTAATTGTAGGCTTGTTATCAATAATTAGAAAATTAAGAATTTTTGGGTTTTCTTCATCATTGTTTTTACAATCTATATTATTAGTATTGGAATTTGGTGTCTCAGTAATTCAAGGATTTGTATTTAGAATTTTAATATTATTATATGCTTTAGAATATTATTAACGTTTGATAAAGTATTATCATATATATCATATAGTAACAATTTCTCCTTGGCCTTTATTGGTTGGGGTAGGTAGATTATGTGTAGTTATAGGTATAGTGAAGATATTTATATTTTGTGAACATGAATTATTATTTTTGAGATTATTTATAATAGTAATTGTAGCGAGAGTGTGGTGACGGGATGTAGTTCGTGAAAGTACATATCAAGGATTTCATTCAAGAATAGTTTTAAGTGGTTTAATATTAGGAATATTATTATTTATTGTAAGAGAAATTTTTTTTTTTTTTAAGATTTTTTTGAGCATTTTTTCATTCAAGATTAAGACCAACTGTGGAGTTAGGGGCTTCTTGACCTCCTCAAGGGATTAATCCTTTTAATCCTTTTCAAGTTCCTTTATTAAATACAATTGTATTATTATCTTCTGGGATTAGAGTAACTTGAGCTCATCAGTCTATTTTAAGAAATAAATGGGGAAATGTAAGGAAATCAATATTTATAACGTGAATAATAGGATTATATTTTTTATTATTACAAACTTTTGAATATTATATAGCAGGATTTAGAATTAGAGATTCAGTTTATTATGGCTCAACATTTTATATAGCTACTACTGGATTTCATGGATTTCATGTAATTGTTGGAACTTTATTTTTATTTGTAATTTGAGTACGAGTTGAAAAAAATCATTTTTCTAGAAGACATCATTTTGGTTTTGAAGCTGCAGCTTGATATTGACATTTTGTAGATGTTGTATGATTATTTTTATTTTCAGTAGTTTATTGATGAGGAGCATAGATTAAATAAAATTAATGTAGTATAAAAGTACGTTTGATTTCCAATTAAAAGAGAAAAATTATATTTATTTAATAAAGTAGTAAAATAGTCTGCCTTTTTATCCAGATATTTGTGGATAATTAGATTTTTTAATTCGGCTTTTAATATATGACAATAAGAAACGCACTCGTGTTTTATTACTTGAAATGTTGAAAAACGTAAACATGTTGTGTTGACGATAATGCAAAAAGTGGAAATTCTGCAAAAGATAGAGGCAGGTGCTACTCTTCGGTTTATAGCAGAATCGTATAGAATTGCGACACGAACTGTGTATGATATACAGAAAAATAAGAAAAGCTGTTGAAATTTTACAGTAACAGTGATTCTAACACTGGAATCGGAAACCGGAAATCGGCAAACCTTGATGCTGTCTCGCACGAGTGATTCCGGCAGCGGCGGAGTAATGGAGTACCAATTTCAGAACTGCTCCTGAGAGAAAAGGGGAAGCAGAATCATGCTTATTTAAAAATAGAGGAGCCTAATGTAAATGAATAATCAATTTATATATGTAATAATAATTGGTAATATTCCGTTTTGAGGACCTTAAAAAAATCGCAGCAAAAATTTATGCACAAAAGCGCCAAATCTAGCTTACAAGCTGATTTCAAATTGCGTAAGTTTATATAGTTCTATATTTCTTAAAATGCTATTGAAGTACTAGTTTAAATTTTAAATCTTTTTTTATTTTAAATCCTTTTTTGATATCCTATGGATTTAACAATTTGGGAATTGCCCATGATGAAAAGTCTGCAATAGAATTTTGGGTAAAGTGCAGAATTGCTCACTGCTTGATGCATTTTTAAGAATTGCACATACTCAGTATTCATGTACACATGACCTATTTTCACTTTAAAAAGAATCTGAGAATTGCTCAAAATTGGCACTGCGCACCCCTTGACTTTATCTATGTACACTCGACTATTTACTTAAAAAGTAAAAGAAAAATTGACAAATCCAATGTTTTTACCCTTGTAAAAAGCGGCAAACAAAAGTGGACGAATCTCTCAATTACCGAGAATTTTTTCAAAGGAAAGGGCATCATTCATTATAGAAAATTATGTTGGAACAACCAACGAGATGAAACTTACTTTAGCGATAACTGGTAGCGAAATAGCGATTGCTGGCATCCATTCAGTTATGTTCAATTTTTATATAAATTATAATAATGATCTGAAATAGTTATTTACACTTATGCTCCCATTCAGTCATGTTAACCTTTTATATAAATTATAATAATAAAAAAGTTATTATGTGAAATTAACCCTTATCTAATTAAAACACCATCTTAGTAGTTATTTACTATTATATTTCCTCCTTTCGTGCGTCAGGGTGCTACAATATTTTTGGCACACTGGCATCAACAATAGTTTGGCGATTTTTTATGGCCCTCAAAACGAATAGCACCTAATAATTTAATGCATATAATAAATTATTGTAATAATGTATATAATGATTTAATCAAATGGTTCTATGTATCTGTTAAATGTATATAATGATTTAATTAAATGCCTTATTTATTTTGCATGCTTAGTCTGAATATTATGATTTATCTTTTCAGTCCTAAAATCCGCTCAACCTCTGGTCCCAAGCTTTGCAGATTGCTTTTCATGGAAAATTATTCTTTTTTAAAAAGTTGTCAGTCTGTGGTACAAAGTTATGAAAAACTAATCTTTAACTATATCTGCTCATCAAGCACTTTTCTGGTTAAAATATTTCCCAGAAAAAGCATTTTTGGACACATTTTTAAAAGCTCTTGGACTTTTTGATTTTCCTATCATAGTAAGTTTCATATTAAGATTTGAAATGACATTTCTGTAGCAAGGATTGTTACTTGTAGCAGGTGTCACAAGTAACGATCACTTGAGCACTTGTAACCAGTGTAGGCTGAGAATTAACTGCGAGTGCTTTACCAGGTACCATTTAGTAATTTAGTTTCCTCTCGTCACAGTAAAATATTTTATCACCAGTCAAGCTTTTTGTGTCTCACAACTTATGAAACTTATCTCTGAAGGAGCTCTCCACCAGTTCATCTGGCTGTCACTGAAAGTTTGTTCCACATATAAATAGCTGCTGTATACCGCATGTTTTCTTCTGCCTATCGTGCCATCCAACACTAGGTGTAAAATTTGTGTCACCTTCATGAAATCCCTTTTGGAATAGGCGTTTTCATGCAAGATTGATGTAGACATTGGAACACCTTTACCTCTCTCTGTGATTAGTAAACCAAGGAAGCTTTGCTAACTTTTTCATTGCTTTTTCTTTTGTTCATTGTGTTAAATGTTATCTTGCTTGGAACATTGTTTTTCTATCTCCTTTTGATTCCTGCCTAAGTTTCCTACAGTCATTTTTGCTGTGTCTTAATTCTATGTTACTACTTTTAATAGCATTTTCCCTTTTTCCAGTCTTTTCAAAGCTTTCAGTTCTTCTTCCATAGAAACAGACAATTTTCCCTCTTTGAAGCTATTATGCACCATAGAATTCAAGATACATAAAGACGGTATACATGAATGCAAGTTAAAAATGTTGTACTGTAAACTGAACATTGTTACAGGAACAGAGAACAAGCAAAACATCAACTCATTGGCAAATACAACTGGAAACTGAGGTCAATGAACTTAGCAGAAGCAGAGTGCAGTGTAGTGACTTATAGAATTTAAATCAACAATGGAGCATGTTGACTCAAAATTTATGATTTTTTACAGACTTTTAGCCCAAAGGGCTATTAGTCTCAAAATAGCATTTTGCATCGTTTCACTTTCTGCATTGGTTCATTTTTCAAACTGTTGCCACCAAATATTATTGCCATTATTTAAGAAACTAAATAATGAAGAATCTACATGAATGTTTCTCGCATTGTGAAAAATAACGGTACCTAGAGCCGTCAAATTTTGAATAACGTAGTCGTCCAACCAAACATGGACACTTTAAAGTTCGAATTTGTTTTACTATCTATTTCAAATTCTGTAACATTTTAATGAATTTTTTATTAACAAACTCAATGATTTCAAAGCGAGCAATGGCAACACTGTACGGGAAAAAAAAAATTATCTCCAGCGTGCAAGACCGTCTATCGGAAATTCTAAAGATATGCTGTTTTCCTGTTTTTTAATATTTTGTGATATTACTGTTGAATTGAATTTTATGTGGTTTAAGTGCAGAGAACATGATATTTAATAAATAAAGGTAACGCACAATGCATTAAAAAAATGCCCTTTTGAACATAATATAAAATGTGAAAGCTTTCAGATTCTCTTCTAATTATTTTTTTCCTTTCCTTTTCTTATTATTGTCATTCCCCCCTTTCCTGGTAAACAGGTTGGATTAGTGAAGGATGAATGACCAGGACTCTTGTAATACAGTCAAAAGTCTTCAATCCGGACTCATCGGGACTTCGGCGATTCCGGATTATCGGTTTCTCCGGATTATAGATCATCAGTTTAAATCTGGTAAGATGGCATGCAGAAATTATAAAATTAAAAACATGAAACCATAATTTATGAAATAAAAAGCAATTATGATCTAAATGGTCAAAATTTACAAAAAATAGCTTAATATTTTTGTTTACTTTATGAAACATTTCTTTCAACGCGCGCATGCATAAAGCATACATTACGCATAATCGAAATTAGAAAATTGCAACCAGAAAACTATTTGATGTGTATTCGTGATATTTATAATGACGAGGAATTTGATTTAAATCCTACCAAAGACGGAGTATGTCGAGATGAAATACTACATTTAGTAAGGAATTATAAACCGAATAAAATAAAAACATCTGCCCTGAAGATAAGGATAGTGCTGACAGATCAAACTCAAGTTCATTGGGTGCCACCACGTTTCCGCCCCTCCCGCAGAGCAGCGTGAAATTGATAAACAGATTTCGGGAATGGTTAAAGAAACAAAGGTTATGCCTTTATCCATTTTTTGCAGCCATTCCACTTTTTGTTTGATGGACATCAAAACATGCTTTCGCTTTTTAGATTATGAATATTTTACTCTTATGAAGATGTGTTTATTTTCAAATTTCGAAACGGTTGGGACATAAAATTCTCAGCAGATAAGAGTAAATATTTATGAAAAATATTATTAGTGGAAAAAATGTAAATAACATTTTAATAAATCGTCACAGCATTATGCAAAGTGAAAAAATATGATGTGTCTGGGATGCAAAAAAATTTCAAAAAAGGAAATAAGGATTTCCATTTTTGTCTATACTGTCAAATCAATCCGGACTCATCGGACTTTGGCAATTCCGGATTATGATTTTTCCGGATTATAGATCATCAATTTAAATCTGGTAAGATGGCATGCAAATTACAAAATTACAGATAAAACCGTAATTTATGAAATAAAGAACAATTATATCTAAAGGGTATCAATTTACAAAAAAAAAGCTTAATATTTTTTGTTTCTTATTAAATATTTCTTTCATGTAAGTTGTTTACTTTCTTCGTTTCATTGTAATACTTTCTCTTTAATTCTATTAAACAGACATAATCTTGTTTAGTACGAAGTTCTGCTGTGCATCCTATAATTGCTGTGTCAAGATACCGCAATTGTTTAATCGAAATGTTTTCATTTTCAATAACCTCTCTGTCGCTTTCTTCACTATCGGAAGCAAATTATAATGACAAGGAACTTGATTTAAATCATATCAAAGGCAGAGTACATCGAGATGAAATACTCATTTAGGTAAGGAATTATAAGCCAAATAAAATAAAAAATCTGCCCTGAAGATAGGATATGCTGACAGATCAACTTCCATTCATTGTGCGCCGCGCCGTTTCTCCCCCCACCCCCAGCCGCACAGTGCGTGAAATTGATAAACAATTCGTATTTCAAAACATTTTTGTTTATCTTTACATAGAGTCTAATATATATCGAATTCTATTTGATATAATCGCCTGTTCAAGCTTACTTTTATAAATTACTCTAACAGTCTGCAAAATAACAAGCGATCCAATTCGAAGATTAAGAACAATGCAATCTGCAACATTAACTGATTAGAATTTTAGCTTAGCTTATATCGTCCGTTATACATTAAGCCGTGCATGCGTAAGCGTATTTATGGCTTGCGCACATATATCGCAGCCGTAAAGGTCTTACGCCCACGCGTAACGCCTTGCGCGACTCATACGCAAAAGTTTCTACTTGGTCGGATTATGGGTGTCTGAATTACAACTTTTACTGTACATATTTGAATGACCATTAGATGCTCACTTAAATAGACACTTAACTTTCATGGGACTTGGATGGAAACATTTTTATTCGAATAGGTTAATTAAACAAAGGAGGGCTCTCTCTGATGGGAGAGATGCCTCTGAAGACATTAAGAAAACTGGCTTTATCTGACAGGCCGCATGAATTGATAAACAGTTCGGAATGTTAGAGAAACAAAGATAGCCTGATCTCTTTTTTGCACCATTCACTTTTTGTTTGATGTCCTCGAAACAGCGTCTCTTTTAATTCTTGCAGCACCAGATCGGAATTCTTTTTACATAATCGAAGTTAAGCTACTTTTATAAAATTACTCTAACAGTCTGCAAAAAATAATAAGCCGGGTCCAATTAGAAGATTAAAGAAAACACACTTAAACATAACTGCAATAGATAATTAGATAATTTAGCTAGCTTAACCGCTGTTACACATTAACGCGCCGCTCGCGCGTAAAGGTATACGTGCTCGTGATGCATTATGCGTTGACGCATGCGCAGAAAGTTTGTAGCTTTGAGGTCCGAATTATAGATCATTCTGGATTATAGGTGTCCGGATTAACGACTTTTGACTGTATAGCACTTGCCTTTCTCTTACTTTTAATTGCTATCTACTTATTTCAATTGCTAGTACTAAAAATATTTTGAAAGTAGTTGTATTTATCGCTAAAGATATCTGATAAAAATGTATTTGAAAATTTTCATTTTACCAGGAATATATTTGCTGACCTATTCTTGGAAATTATTCATTTGTAAATGTGTGTGCATTTTATGTTCAGTTATTAAATTTTAATTGTTGCTTAAAGTGCTTTTAAGATCCTTGAATTTCCTAAATGTGAAATTGATTTGTTATGTTATTTATAGGATTGATATATCTGCTGTGCAGTGACCTTTGAAGAAAACTGAGTGTCAGCTGTTCACAAGTGTTTTAACAGCGTAGAAAATTTCTATTCATGAATAACTAATAATTTATTTAAAAACAATGGGGATTAATAAAAAATTAACAGACTATTCATAATGGAAACAGATTCAATTACAAAATCAGTGCTTAAGAAATCTGATGGTTTGGTGCTGAATAAAAATAAAAAAGTTACTTTTTGTGATACTGTGAAAGTTTTTGTTGACAATCCTAGCAGCATTTTAAAAGCTGCAGATGTAGAATTACAAGTGAAATGTGTTGAAATAACTATAGTTGATAATTCAAATGATCATTTATTACCCCCACTGGACTCTGTTAATGATGATTGCACTGTAACTGATTTTTTAGTGCACAAAGTTGTTTATGATAGCTACAGTGTACCTGATGATGACATAGATCCTGATGTGCAAAACGAGGATGTTGAAGAAGAGCCAGTTCTCTTTGACGTACAAGATGATGATGATGATCTAGAATTTATAGTTCATAAAGTTACTGATCATGAAGATGATTTAATAAAACAGGAAATAGATTTTCATGTTGTAAATGATAATGATGATGATACAGTACAACTGCCTGAAATAAATACTTATGGTGTTATGCAGAAATTCTCTAAATTGAGTGTTGAAAA